CAATCCAACCCCACCCCCAACACTAAACTCAGCCCTGTCCCCTGACCCACACCCTGCAAGATTTCTCGTCTGCAGAGAGAGAGAGAGAGAGAGATGCGCACATCAACGTTGAACTTTGTGGAACGGAGACCGGCATCAGATCTTACTGCCACGAAATCCCCTGTTCTCTTTTTCATTTCCTCTTTATCGTAGGCCTGCTCTCGGTCTCTCTTTCGGGCTCCTTCCGCGCCCCAACTTGCGAGGCACCGATGTGCTGTAGCATCTGGTGTTCTGAAAAATGAATGCGCTCTCATTTTTTGCGGTCTCTCTTCCAGTCTGTGGCATTCTAAGGGGGCATTAGCGTTTGTCACCAGCAGGTTGTCGCCTCCACAGGCACCGACTCAACCGAAGGCAGTGCAAGAGCGAAGGCTCTGCTTTTCGCCTTCCAACCTCTCAATCCCACGCAGCGTTTCTGCAGAGGCACAAATATTTACGAGGTGCGGGGACAATGATAAAATATTGTTGAGCGCTACAATAAGACGAGACGAGGTAGAGTTCTCCTCCGTCAGAAGGGGGAAGCAAGTGGGCCGCCAGCCATTTTGGCCCCGTCAGATGACAGATATTGGTGCGGAGGGATATTGAGTTGGGTCGAGACGGCCCAAAAGGCACAGCAGCAGCAGGCAAGCAAGCACACACTCAGTCAAGTGCAGGGGTTGCTTGGGAAAAAAAAAAAAAAAAAAAAAACCCGCTTTCCTCAGCACTTCCTTTGAAACGCACCCGGACCGCGGTGCTTTGCTCCCAGCCAAACGAGTGTGGATTTTGGAACGGCGTCCAGCTCATCTTGCTGTCGATGCACGCAGGACCGCGGAGGAAAGGAAGGATAGAATTCACTTCCCTCTTCCAACTCCATGTCCTCTGCCTGACCTTCTGCTTGTCTGAGCCAGTGTGAAAGGTCAGGGGTCGCCAGGCCACAGCTTCCCGCACTCTGTCGACACCTTTGGCTTGACGATCGTCGGTATCACTCATCTTCTGGGGCGTTTAACCTAAAACATGTCAGTACTTCAACCACAACAAGTGTGAAATACACATCTTAAAGTTCATGAAATTAATTTCTGGAGCGTTGATAGCGTTGTTACTGTTGATATAAACCAGAGGTTCCCAAACTGTGGGGCGCGCCCCCTAGGTGGGTCACCGTGTCATTGCAGGGGGGACGCGGGAAGCCGTCTGGATGAAAAAAACAAAAACAAAACATGAACACTGTATGCGCTGGGTTTTTACCTTAGAATGGCCAACTCTGTTATTCCTGTCAATTTGATACAGTAGAGGCTTCCACACTTCCCATATTTGTGTCCTCTGTCACTTTTATCAGCAGTTAAAACTGTTTAATCCGTTGTTAACATGTTGTAACCCGTTTTTCCGAGCCGCCTTTAAACGCAACATGAGCGCTACGACGCTCGCGCTGGGTTTACACCTGTGAAGGAGACCTGCTGCTGCTGGGCGGAGCTACGTAGGTTTGTGTTAGAATCCCGGCAGCAAACCAGCAAAACGCAAAGAACTTTTCACAGTTTTTCCCTCCAAACTAACCGACTGAGTTGAGTAAAGCTGTTTCATGCAGGTAATGTTAGCTAAAAGATGACTAGCTAATGTTAGCTAAAAGATGACTAGCTAATGTTAGCTAAAAGATGACTAGCTAATATCAATACAGATAATTCTTCAATATTGATTAAAAAAAAGTACTAGTTCCACTAGCAGATTATTTTACGTATAACACGGGAAAATGTATCATTATAAGTGAAATAATGTGAAACAAGTACTTTTTAAATTATTGAACTAAAACAAGACAATATATCTTCATGAAAAGTTACTTGTAAGTTAGTTTTGTCTTATTTCAAATGTACTAAGATATTTGAAGTAGCATCTAGAGCAAAAATACTTGGGAGGGTTTTGTGTTTTTGTGTGGGAAGAACAAAACCTCTGTGTGCTCCAAGGTAGATGTTCACATACCTCCACATTAAGTACACTTAGAGTAAACTTGTGTTATGATTTTGTCCGTCCAGTAGAGTGAGTCGTCCAAACCGGTCCAAAAAGAACCGTCTTGCTTATGAGTCACAGTCAGCTGATGCTGAATCATCTTATGAATCGTATAAATACTTAACTTTACGTATGTTGTTTATTATTATTTAGTAACATTCTGCAAAGCGTCTGGGTTTTCACGACTGCTCTGTAATCTTAAACATTTTTGCTTATAATTTTAGTGCATAGGTTGTTTTGTCTTTAAGAGCTGAAGTTGCATTTGATGCAGAAAGAAACAAACTACAAATGGGTGTGTTTCTCAAGAGCAGTATTTATGTTTGTGGGGTTAAAATTGCTGTGTCACGCAGTCACAGCCGCGCAGTTTCCCAAATAAGTAGTAATAGATAATTCTTATTGACACTTTTATCTTTATCACAATACTACCACAACATATTGCAATAAAACTTTAAGTCCTTGCCGCCCTTTCCTACAACTAATTCATCATCACATTGTTGCTAAAACAGGAGATTATTAGACATTAGTTTGCTAAAGTACAAACCCGTATTGTATTGGCCCGCTTTCACCTTCAAGAAAAAAGTTTTCCCTCGATTTGCACCCCACAAGATTGAAAATTTGAGTTTAAACACAAGTTTTGATCTGCTGCTCTGGTATACTGCGCTTTTAAAAAGTTGTTGTTTTACATCCGCTAAAATATTCCATCATATAACTTGGCGCGGCTCAAATTCATCTTAACGAGGAGCCAGAAACCGTTAACAGAGTGAGGAGAAGCGTCTCACACAGTGCTCCCACCTGACGCTGCACACTGCCGGTAAGCTGGCAGAAAGAGGGATAACACACGTCTCTCACACTCAAAGATTTGTTCTACTTAAACTCTTAAATACTAGCAAATCTATTTACTAGATTTTAATTCCCAAGTGTTTGGGGTGTGAAATAATTTATCTTTTCAGATATAATTTGCCAAGGATAACTATCTGACATCGTAATTGTAAAAATGAAATGTTTGTTTTTGTTTTTCGTAGGAGGAATAATTGTCGCTGTTCTGTTTTAAATAAAAGCCATTAGACGATTGGATCTGTTTTTGTAGTTCTAACTTTGTGTGTAATTACCACGATTCAGTGAAACCACAGCACGTTTCCTCACAGTCCCTCTTCACACACCCATTATGTTAGATTGACTGGCGAGGCAATTATAAAATGTATTTTAATGGTGCGTAGTCCAAAGGAGTGTCATCCATCACTCTTTGAAACTCCAGTTGGGGGGGGAAACTACAGGTAATTAGGTCTGCTAAGTGACCTGAGCTGATGGACCTGCGAATTAACCGGCTGGTATCGGCTTGTCGTCCTCGTGTCGCTCTGTGAAAAGCACAACAGCACAGTGGTGTTTGGGTGCATGTTTAAAGGCCTACTTTCTTTTTTTCCTCTTGTCTTTTTAATTGGAAAAGAACCAAAATGATTAGAAATGAATTTAAAGAGATGAAATAAGGAACTGAAATCTACTACTAATTATATGTTTGTTTATTTTTAGGGTCTGTGCATCAAAAGCAAAGTAATAGTGAAAGGATTATCATAGCTTTTATAATAAGTGGTTATTTTAACAGCCCTGACATCATTTTTGCTGTTCCGTTTCAAATAGATTAACTATATAATTTCACTATGGTGTGAAGAACTTGTCCAGGCCGCTGCCTCATCTATGCAAAGTGCAGATAATCCAGATTTTTACAGTATTTGAGTATTTATTTTCAGTTAAAAGCGTAAAAATGTCAGAAATGAATCTACATTTTAGCTTATCTTTGCACTCCAATAGCTTTACACAATATAACTGTAACTGTTATTGCTAGCATGCAATGTAAAATGCTAACAATAAAGAGTAAAATGTAAATTTAGACATGCCTCTGCAGCAAAGACACTTTGAAGTTATGTCAGATTTATTTTTTATTTTTTGCAGAAACTGAGAGCGCTACTGAAATTGCTCTTGGAGTGCAGCCTCTGTTTTTGCAGCTGTGCTGTAAATCTCAGCTCTTTTCCCACGTAGATAAATATCCTACTGGAAATAACATCACACCTGTCAGTCTGTCAGTCCAGCCTGAACTCACCCTAATCGGAGCTTTTCAGGCGACGACACTTTCACATCAGTGTCACCTCCTCCAAGGGATCCTAATGCATTTGTTCTTTTTTTTTATTTATTTTTTTTACAGTGCAGAAGTTTAGAAGCACATTTCGGTGCTCTTTATTACTCTCAGCAAAATACCTGCTTTAATAGTTTTAGTTTTTTTTTTTTTTGGTTGAAGTATCGTGCTGAGGAAGGGAGCCGAGAAGGGATTTGGGTTCTGGCTCGGTTTGTGGCTCTGCCCCGGAGGAGGCACCGGGAGCAGCAGCAGTGTTTATGAAAAGGATAAAGCGCATTAGGGCGCACATTTGACACGTTCTCAGCCGGGCCGAAGGATGCGGGTTTGGGTGTGTGAGATAACAAAACGCGAGCGGATGAAGTGCGGCGTTGAGGCGGTGCCGTTGGACCTCTGGCAGCCATGCGGCACAGACAGTCCGGGCCCATAAAACGCCAGGGCTGCCATCAGAGAGGATAAAACAAAAAACACAGGGTTGCTTAAAGTATCGGCTCTCCTCGTGAGTCCAGGTATGTGGAGTCCTGATGCTGTGAGTTAAGATGACTTAGAAAGAGATTTTTGTGTATTTTATTACAAGCCACTAAAATTTTACAAAGTTTTCTAAAGATGTCACAGATTAAATAATATGTATATTCACAAAGTGGTTAATGGAAAGGAGAATATATTCTTTCTGTCCATCTAGGCCATTTTGCCAGACGATAAATTGTCTCAGAAGTTAGTGAGATAAATGATAATATGGTTTGAGGCTATTTTCAAGTAATATAAAGTTAGTGGCGTAACAATGCAAGAACACATTCTGAAACAGCAATGAACTTTAAATTCTAATGAACATTTAACACTGGAACTGGAAGACATTTTAAATATCCAATATAAATAAATAAAACAACAGAAACAACAAACATAGAGAAAAAAGGTCTGGTTCAGACCAAAACACCAGACTGAAGACTTTAGTCACCCAGGTTTTTTCATAGAAAGAGAGAAAAGAGAAAAACAATAAATTATGCAAATGAAAATTATTGATTTCGTTTAAATGAATCCACCGATTAATGGATTTATTGCTTATTGTGACAGACCTGTAAAATGTTTGCAATAAGTTAAAGTAAATTCCAAGTAAATAATCTATTTATTTAATAATTTCACACTTCAATTTTGTCAAATTGTCGATTCTAGAAGATTATCATCTAAATACTTAAATACTTGTGCAAACAGAAAAAAATAAACTTTTTAAACTAAACAAAATTAATCGAGCTCACAGTACTGCTTGATAACTAGTATCAACTGGAACGTCTGCATGATTGAAATAAAACAGATTTATTTATAAATTCCCTGGGGAGACGACATTTGTTGTGAATTGGCGCCGTATAAATAAAACTGACTAGAATCCAATACATGATGTGATCTATAGAGTTACAGTTTGTCGAATGTTCCTGTGGTTTAGGACGTGACAAGAGGAAGTGACTGAAGCAAACATAGACGTATAATGATTAAAGAATTAAACTTACAGGTTATTTATTTATATGTATATATACATCCAGCACTGATGGCATTCAGTTTACTTCAGACTCCGATGTCTGTATGAAGCACTGAGACGTTTCTTTGCAAACGATTAAGAAAAAATGTGCACTCACACGACAGGAAGTAGCTCCAGAGAAAGCGGTGTAGTAACGGCTGCTGCCAGCCGGGCGTCTTTTGAACTGGAACAAAAATCAAGACTGCTTTTCACAACGTTTCACGGGTTTTCAGAAAGTGTTCAGGTGGAAAATTGTTCAAAATAGTTGTAATTAAAAACGTATACATTTTAATAAAATGCTGTGCCCTTCCACTCCTTTGTTTTGAAATGTCTAGAATCTGTAAGCCAAGTTTATTTGTATAACTCATTTCACCAACGACACAGCTCACAATAAAAACATAATGCAGTAACCGATTATGAAACAAGCAAAATGTGACATTCTGTCAAATACCGTCATCAATGCTCCCTTTACTGCTAATCTAAACAGGTGGCTTTAGAGGAACTCAGTGTTTCAGCAGCTTTGCAGTTTTCTGGAAGTTTGTTCCAGATTGGTGGTGCTCAGAAGCTGAATGTTGCTTCTCCATGTTTGGTTCTGGTTCGACGCAGTGGGATTGTAAAGCAGAAATCCCAGTGTAACTTTATGTTAAATGATAAGGTGATTAAAAAAGGATCATACACCTCACCTGTGAACGCACAGCCTAAACACCAAAAAATGCTTTCACCTAGAATCGTCTCGTCTTTCATGGGAACCTTAGAGGGTTCTGGGCTTCTGACCCGTTCTGGTTGCCATGCCAACTTAAAAAGTTCCCGCTCCTCCTGTTGTTTAGCATCCATTTTAACCAGATGCCAGAGAAAACACTGACGAGCCCAAAGTTTTCCCTGTCCATACGCCGTGTGGAGTAATGTAGCGCGGCCCCCTCCCCCACCTGTTGCTGCGCACTTGTAATCAGCCTGCTGGAAGAAAAGCCACTACACTGTTCACTGTTTCCTCGCATACAAAAAAGGCAAAGTTGTCAGTTTCGGAAAAATGTCTGGTGACAAAAAAACAGACTTTTCCAATTAAGGTAAAACTATTTCAAACTAAAGACATTTGCTTTTGTTGGCAATGTAAATGATAACCAGTTCTTAATGATCTCACCGGGGTAAAAAACAACAAAAAGTTAATTAAATAACCAGCTAAATTCTGATTGTTATTCTTGTGACCCTATACAGAGCAGGACATTAAAAATTAGTGATTTTCTACATAGCAAGCATTTATTTAAGTTACCAAGTGTCAACATACAAAATATTAAAGGAATGTAATCCTTTTCACTATAATGGTTTTATTTTACCAGCAGTAGGAATGTTTTTGCTTTGCTGTTTTACATTAAACCTGTAGATTATGTTTTGTATTTTTGTTTTAAATCTTTGTAGTAATGTGTTTAAATTGTGCTATCCCTTCGCTGAGTCACAGCAATTAAATACAAAAAAAAAATTCACAAAGCGTGCTTGATTTTAAAAGCAATTGTTGCGTGAAACATTTTCGCCTTTCGCCCTAACACTCTAAAATCAACTAAATCTCCTCTGCATCGGCGTTAACTTGTGTTTGACGTGTCATTATTAACGCTTCTGAATGCGACGCTGGCGACACACATGTGGATCTGCTGCCTGAGTTGCGTTAGTTTGAGCCTGAACGCGGTGCCGGTCCGGCACAATGTGGCCGACTCCTGAGGGGTGCTGCTGCCAAAAGTGGCTTCAGTGAGGGAGCGTCCCTCCCAGGCTGGGTTGTCCAGTCTGAGCTCTGCAGTCGAGCAGGACCATCGTTTCCAGCCTCTGCTCTGCTCCTGTTTCTCCTCGAGCTCTTTTGAAATCCTGTGAGGAAAGAAAAGACAACAAAGTGAGTTTGTTTCTGCTTTTTTGCTACCCCTCTCTTCTTCTTTTTCTTCTTATTTTTTTAAAGATGAATTCATTTGCAAGTTATCCAGTAATCAGAAAGTTTGAAAATGCGTTTTTTGAAATTTCTGGATTGTTAAAGTTGAAGCTGGCCAAGAGGATTACAACACGTGTTTTTCTGCATTTTCACAAAAGTTTATTTTTTTTAACTTAAATTATAGTAGAAAAATTTACGTGAAGTTTTTAAAATCCTTACTGAGAATAAATGAGGTTAAATAAGTTTTAAATTAGGTAAAATTAAACAGTAGGACGTAGAAAACGGTTTACATCGTAAACATATAATAGAAACTTTTAACTAAAGTTCTTCTAAAAAGTAAAAATGGTTGAGTTTTGTTTGTTCTTTGAATTAAATCAAAGATTTGTCACTTAGATGAGCATAATTTCCAACAATAACTATTGCATTTTTTCTCATAAATTAAAAAAAATATATTTAACTGACCTTTTTTTAAAAAAAAAAATTTTTACAGACGAAGGAATACATAATTTTTTTTAAAGACTGAATTGTGGAATAAATTCTGACATGTTTGCTTATTTTCTTAAACACAATTAGAATCATGACTATTTACACGATAATATCTAAGTAGAGTTAATTAACGGGGAAAAGTGATTTTGTGTGTCATGGTGAAATACAATTTAATATTTTACATGTTTCTATATCTCTTTTCTTATGCATTATAAGGACACATGAACTTTTCCCTTACTTTTCTATTATTCTGTCAAAAACAGAAGAAAAATCAAAACAGGATTATACATGAAAGACAAAATCTAATATTTTACAACTTTTTTTATTTATTTATTTTTTTTACTAATGTTTTGTAATTTTACATGTAATGAATTATCTGTTTTAAAATAGACACACAGGCTTCTTAAATTTGAATTTATGTTCTGGAAGTCCTTTTCTCCACAGTTTACCTGAAACAAAAAGTAGAAGATTTAATCACAAGCAATATAGATATTAAAAAAAATAAAACACAAAAAGTGTGTTTTTAAAACTCAGCAGTATTAGCTGGGAAAGAGCTGCACTGTCTGGACTCACAGGGTTAAAAAATAATGTTTGGATGCAATCAGAAATCCAGATCATGAAGGATCTGCTCCTCACGCCTTTCACGGAGCGCTACATCACCGTTATCTAAAATATAATATATATATAGAATCCCCCTCCTGCGCATGCCTCGTCTCCTCCATTTTGTGTTTTGAGAGCTTTTGCTGCACATGCAACCATTTCGTGAAGCCCAAGCATTCCTGCACGATTTGTACGACTTCTCCGATCGGATCACGCCGAAAACCCGACATCACGTGAGCGCACAACTTGGCCTGAGGTCCAAGCCGAAACCAGAGCGCAGCACCGATGCAAACACCAAACCCTCCACTCCTGTGTGCACAGAAACCTGCAGTGTTTGAAAGCTGTTTTTATTTATTTTATCTTTTAAAAGTTTCCTTTTCCTCCGCTCATTTGCTTCCCTGAATGTCTCAGAGGCTCAGAGAGCAGAAACCGACGGTCACAGTTGACTGCCTGTGGGTGACGAGCAGGGGTCAAAGGTCAGGCCGTGTTAATAGGATGTGATGTGCTGCCCTGGGACCTGGCTCCCACGAGGGATCCCCCCCTCCCGCCTGCTCCCTAATCGGTAATAGTTAATGTGTTCGTAATCTTTACCTTCTTAAAGCAAACAGCAGCGGAGAAGTGAATGGGCCCGCTTAGCCTCCCATGCAACACTTTTGACCCCGGGGTCACGGCCTTTGTTCCCCGCTCGATGGGGGAGTGCCCCCAAAGGTCTCGAGCGTAATAGAGAAGTTGTTTAGACACGTGCAGGGCTTAACCGAGACCACCTCACACACACACACACATACATACACACACACACACACTACGCGCTTCTGTTCCTAGAAAGTATATTGTGGACCCCGGCGTCAGAAGGGATGCTTGTGGTTTGCTTTTATCCCGTCCTGAGTGAGTCGGTTAGGAGAAGCTCTCCAATCATAGATGCTGACCACTTCCTGTTTCCCCTCCGATGGCGTTTTGATGTTTCGTTTAAAATTAGAAATGCAGATGTTGTCTGTTGTTGTGGATCGCTGGGTAGGTTTTTTTTTTTTCTTCGCATTACTAGAAAGATATCTGAAAGTTTCTGACCTGAGTCTGAAAAATATGGCTTATTTCACTTAAATATGTGTTTGCTGTTTTCTCCCTGATGGAAAACTAAGGACAAAAAAGAATAACAACGAGCTAATAGTCTGTTCACAAGTTGTATTTTTTGTACAATTTTTTTTTTCTAAAAGTGATTATTTTTATTTTTACATTTTCAATATTTGTAATATTATTTTTCTCTATTTATAAAGATATGGAATAATAAGATTTATGCAGATTTATTTTACTTTTTGGGGGGGGGTAAATTATATTTTTTACTAGAATATTGCAGATAAATTGCGTGCTATTTTGCAGCTTTTTCTACCATCTTGTTTTATGTTGCACAATCAGGTAAATGTGATTGGTGGATTTTTGTTTGTTTATTTATTTATTTGTAAAAGAAGCAACTCCCATCTTTAGTTTTATGTTTTCTTTGCTGAGTATTTTCATTTGTTTGACTTCTCCAAAAATTTCACTTCCAAGGCAAAAAGCGAAAAAGTAACTATAAAAGCTGAAAGTTGCACAAAAAAAATGCATGAATTGGACTCCTTAATTCTTCTGGAAAGAAAAAAAATCTGCTCTATTCTCTGGGATTATGATAAATTAAAGATGTCTAAATTGGGCATAATAAATAAGTTGGATGAGCATCAGAGGGGGGAAGTAAAAGGAGCGCCGCGGTGGGAGCTGGCACCGCACCAAAACCCAAAACCGTATCCTCAGATGAACTTTACGCTGCTGCAAAGTGCAAGCCTGCACACCCTGCAAAACACCCACAAAGTTTCCCGCTGCAAGCCGCCATCATTTAATCCTGGAGTTTTTTTAGGCATATTCTCCTTCATCATCCCTCTTTTCATTTCATTTCATTTTTTCCCCCTCCTCTTTCAAATGAAGTTCCCAAACATATACACACATGACAGCTTTATACATCAAGGCCATAATGAAGTCACGGGTTTTTCAATTGGCTAAAACGCATGGCGAGATGTGACGTGGAACCGGGGCTCCTTTTTCTAAAAGCTCGGGATATAGCCGGTGCCGGCGTCGGGAGTCCGAACCGAGCTCGAAGGGGGAGACGACTGGGGAAAAAAAACAAAACAAACTGCAATGTTTTCTTTCAAAAGAAAAACCCAAAACAGCCCATTTACCTCCCGTTCCGCCCCGGTGTGCAATCGCAGAAAGAGACTGAGCAAACAAGAAGTGTGAAGGGAGGCGTTGGGATTTTCGTAGTCAGAAAGGAGAACCGAAGGAAAACCAGAGATGGTGGGTGTGCGCAGAAGCCAGCAACCCCCCTTTTTTTTTTTTTTTTTTTTTTTTTTGCAAAACGGTAGCAGCCATGTTTGAAAAACCTCCTCAAGCCCCCTGTAAAGAGCTCAGCGCCCTCCAAACACCGACATGGAAAGTTTTCACAGATTAAAAAGAGTAAGAAAAAGTTGAACCCCCACCTTTTCTTTTTTTTCCTCCCATTGTCTCTGCTAGGCATGCAGTCCCCGCTCGCCCTCCTCAACTCCCCAGCCAGCAGTTTAGAAAGCAGAAATGAAATCAGAATAGTTCCTCTGTAACAGACTCGCTCTGTTTTGTTTTGGGTTTTTTTTTAACATGTCCTTATTCCTCTCCGTACAGAAGCTGCTCTGGTTCGAGGCCGAAGGGAAAGGAGAGGGTGGGGAGGGTGAAAAAAGAAGAAGAAAAAAGTTTGAGCCCACGAGCTCTGCCCTTTTCGCAGTGGTTTTAGAAGCAGAGCCAAAAAAGGCAGGAAGTTGTTGTACAATAGCGTTACAGTAATCTGCCACAAAACGGGGAGAAAAAGCTGATCGAGGAGAGAAGGTGGCAGGAAAAAGAAGCAGAAGAAGAGAGGAGGGAGGGCTAGCATGTGAGAGAGAGCAAAGAATAATCAATACAATCTAAGATGGTGGAAGCAGCCCGAGCGCTCCCCCCTTTTTCTGCTCCTTCCTGCACCTCACCTACTCTTCATGTAAATCAGAACATGAAATCCATTTAAGCAAACCTGCTCTTCTGTTTCAGAAGGGGCCGACCAGCATCTCTTTCTCTAAAGAGAGAGAGAGAGAGAGAGAGAGAGAGAAAAACACGATTTGGTTCATTTTCTATAAACTTTTTAAGCTTTGGTAGGCGACAGGGCAGCTGGGGAGGAAAAGTCTCTGCGGGAAATAAAGGAAAAATAAATCAAAACTATCAATGTTTTGTGCCAGAATAGGTTTTGAGGGTTCAAGCTTTTCGACAGAGGGGGTGTGCGTGTGCGTGTGCGTGTGCGCGTGCGTGCGTGTGTGTGTGTGTGTGTGGAGGGGGGGGAGTGTTTATGAAAAGGAGGAGGCTCCCTTCCACGTTACTGAAATTAACACTCTCCATGCTTGTGCTCTTGTTATTTTTCTTTCTCTTTTTTTTGTCCTCCATCCCGTGAATCCGTTCATTCGCTCGCTCGCTCGATTTGCTTCACGTGTTTGTTTTTCCTGCCAGAAAAAGTACAAGCGAGGCCCTCCCATCGGTGTGTGTGTGTGTGTTTTTTTTAAGCGACTAGAACTGCACCGTAGCGAGACAGGAAGTTAATAATTTAACGAGCTCTCAGAAGAAGCGTTGCATATTTCACAGATTTCCTTTCAGCTGTGCGTCTTTTTTTCTCTTCCCCTTCTCTCTCTCTCCCCTCCGTTTATTTATGTTCCTTGCTTTTTCTTTTTCTTTTTTTCCCCCTTCACTAGCTGATGTACAGTAAGGCGGAGGTACTGTATGGAGGACCCCAGTGGGAGCGGGAGCCACTGCGCCTGCGTGCTGCTGGAGGGTTGTTTCTCCTCCTCTACCCCTCCCACATTCAGATCTCTCTCTCTTCTCTCTCTCTCTCTCTCTCCCCCCCTCCCTTCCTACCTCCTCCTCAATTCAAATACAGTTCCTCGCCGTGTTGGACATGTGATGAAAAAGTGACGGCTTCGCGCGCTCCGCTACGCCTTCTATTTCATCATCAGCAACACCCCCCTCTTCACTACGCGTTCACTGTCTCCTCCTCTCCCTCTCTCTCTCTCTTTTTTTCACCCCCCCCGTCTTTCTTCTTCCCCGTTTCGTTTGCTCCCCTCTTTCTGCTCCAGCCTCACGCAAGGGGGAGACTGAAGCTCTGCGAGGGGAAAAGAGAGAGAGAGGAAAAAAAGTGCTGCTATTTCTACAGTCAGGGCCTCCCCACAGCCCGCCCTTCCATAGACGGAGCTGCTTTTTCTTTTTTTTTCTTTCTTTTTTTTCACTCACTACTAGCTGGATTTTAACCCTCTGCTTCCAACTAGCTGCACAGCAGCAGTTCTGCAAAACCTGGCAACAAGTTGATATTCCAGGGGCCTTTTCTCTGACTTTTGCCACATAGATTTTTTTGCGTCTTTCTTTGGATTTTCTCGCTTTTTTGCTGTTGAATTTCTTTTTTTCACTTAAAAAGAACAAAATATTCTAACTTTGTTGGGGATTTTTTTGCCCCCCCACCACCCTCCCGCTTACGATTTTTGTGTCGAATTCATTCGCTTCTTCTGGTTTTCTTTGAATGGATTTTTTTTTTTTTTAGTTTTTTTTTTTTTTATCTTTTTCCTTTTCGGCGGCCCGTTGTGTGGGGACCAGAGGGCAGGGAGGGGGGCACGAGGGATGAAATTTCTCGGCTGGATGGGAGAGCCGGGGCGCCATTTCGGGTAACCTGCTTGCGGTAGGCTTGCGGTCTAGATGACCACACAGTGGATGGCAGTGAGGAGAACGCGGCCTGTGTGGCCGGAAGGCGGCTGCTGCACGTTTCAGTGTTCCTAAACACCCGTCCGCCATCGCTACTTTTGACCCGCATGAACTTCCGTACCGTGTTTGTTTTTTCGCTCAGCTTTATGCCCCCCTCTTGTTTCCTTCCCGTGTCTTGCCGCTCGTCTCTCCCTCTCTCTCTCTCTCCGTCCGTCTATCTCTCTCTCTCTCCCCGCTTCACGCTGACTGAAAGGGAACGAGTGGAGAGCTGAGCCGAAGCGCTTTCTGGGACAGGTGCCAACTCCAGACAAAAGAAAATTTTAAACTCAACAGCAGAGGGAAAACGTTCCGAGTCAGAAAACAATCTTTGAATAGTTGCATCGGAATATCTGGTGTTTGCACGTTGCGCCCCCTTGCATGTACAAATTGTTCCCCTGTGATTGTGTATTTCTGTGTGTGTGTGTGTGTGTGGTGTTGAAACTAAATGTTTCAGCAGCAAACTAAACACTTTGACACTTTTCTGATTCGGAGTGAAGGCATCTGATTCGGGGCGTGATGAGGGGAGCGCGGTGGTCGGAAAAGCTGCATTATTCATGCCGAGGCTGGGATTTGGAGCGCCTGTGCCATTTGCATGCATCAGACATGCAGTGCGCCTGTTTGCTAACATTCCTCACTGAAAGACTTGTTAACCGGGGCGGACGGGGTCGAGCCGGAGCCCCGCCGACCACCGCGTGGCGGCCTCTCATCATGTCGGGCCTCGCACCGCCGGCCCAGACCGGACCGTCCGCTGGAGAGGAGACGGGCTAGCTGTCGCTAAGGTGGGTTGGGGGTGGCGGCCGAGGCTCAAAGGTGGGACTGACCCCAAGAGCTGCAGCCGGAACTGAAGGCTGAGCTGGAAGTGGGACAGTCTGATGGAAGGGGCAGAGAGGCTCCTGGGTCGGGGAGTTCACTTGGTACCTGAAGAAGCTCTGACCCGGAGCTCATGGCTCTCTCCTCTTCTTAACAGGAGGTTCGGATCTACGACGAGGAGAGCTGGATGGAAATTCATCCCCAGAACAAACATTCGCCTCCTCGCTCTGTGGAGTCTGTGAGTATTTATTTTATTTTTATTTCATGCACATATTCTTACAGAGTTTCGACACCAGCTCTTTAGCAACAGCGAACTTTAGATGCTTTTAAAAAAAAAAAAAAATATTCGATTAAAACTTTCTTAACTCTTGCGGGCCCATTTCTGTCTGAAACGCCGCTTTAAAACACACAAAAAAACAACAACATAGAACTGAGAAAATTTTCAATTTGAATTCATTTTTGTGTTCTGAAACTAAATGACTGAATTTTTTGGGGGAAAAAATAGCAGCGCGCAAACAAAAGTAATCAGTGGCTCTTGGATTGCAGTTGGTGGGGATCAGTGAATAAGCGGAGGGCCGTAGTTGTGGAGGAATTTCATTCCAGGGATGCGGTTCGGGCTTCGGATGCAGCGTACACACACAAGGACATAATGTACTGATCGGTTCGATCCGCTTCCGGCTCTTTGGAGCGAAATGTTTATCAGAATATTTACTAAAATTTGCTCTGTAGTGAAAATATCAGTATTTCGATCACATAAACACCAGATTTGTGTATGTATTGGTGCGTGGGTGTGTGTGTGTGTGTGTGTGTGTGTGTGTGTGTGTGTGTGTGTGTGTGTGTGTGTGTGTGTGGATAGGTGGGGTGGGGTGATTGGTAGATCCTTATCTGTATTTTTGAATACAAAAATAAATTATATTTATCTCTCGGCATCAGCAAAATCACGTTAAAACTGATTCCTCTGTAAAAAAAAAAAAATTATAAATGCAAGTATTTTTTTTAAATATTGCTAAACAACTGCAACGCAAAAATACATTTTAAAAATAATTTTGCTGATTTTTTGTAAAGTGTACATTATGCTAATTTGAACCTGACATATTTTTCGCTGAATTTTGTTTCGCAAAAACAAATGCACTTAAAATCTAAATTGTAGCGTTATTACTTATCCCGCCTGGTTTGTAAGTCGACTAATAGACCTAAATGAACCAAAATGTAAATTTAAAAAAAAAAAATTATATCCCTGCATCTTTTCTGTTCCTGTGAATCGTCTCTAGCCGCCCCTTCCTGCCCTGTGATTCTCTAACGAGCTCCCAAGTTGTCGCGCTGCCGAACAGAAGAGGGCATTCTTGAAGGACAAACCTGACTGTGACGTCACTCAGGGCTTTTTTGGGGGGATGATTGAAGCTCTTCGTACGTGCGGTCGAGTTAAATGCATTTCAGCGCTAGCTCCTGCTGAAGTAGCTCGTGGGCAGATATCTCGGACTGGCAGAGCATGGCGGCTCTCCACCCCTCGGGCCTTTTTTGGCAGCGGATGGCAGGATTCCAGACGAGGGTTGCATGTAGAGAGGCAGATGGCAGGGTGCTGAGGCGCCTCTTTTGTCAGAGTCCACCTGAGTACGAGGACGGCTTCGACAGGGCCGACGCAGACGCATTTCTTTCTTTATTTTCTCGCACGAAAGCTAACTTCGGATTAATCACAGCTAAGAATACGCACGCGACGGCGGCACACGCACAAAACACAAGTTCACAGGCAAACTCTTATGTTCAGCAGTGAGTATTTGCCCTTGATTGACTGGTTGTGTTAATGCTAACTATTAGTTGTTTCTTTTAAAACAACTAGATGCTTATTTTTTAAAAAGAAAATTTTCTTCTCTTTGCGCCGTTTCAGGGTGTGAATCCAGTGCTTCGTGTGTCGGCCATTTTACGGTTTTTCTTTCTTAAATCCGCAGAATGGCTTTCACACATTGCAACAGATCCTTTTTTGCTAATCTTATAATTATTTGGGAATTTTAAATAAGTATTTTTTGTATTACGCAGCACACACAAAGCAAAAAATAGACAGAAATTCAGGGTCTATTTTTGCGGTTGAACTTGAACTTGAGGTCGTCTTTAACCTTGAACTTGACATGGAGTTGTGTTTAAATTTGTGGTTTTTTTTAGAATGTGCAATTTGCAGAAAACAAACATGAAATAAAAAGAAACAATAATTATCCGAATGTAACAAAACAAATAGGATTGAGCGAAAAGAATAAAACTAAAAAAAAGTTGCTGAAAATCGACATGAATTAAAATTATTTATCTGCAGCTTCTTGTCGTTCATTTAATTCTGTCAAGTTACATTTCTGAGTCACAATACGTTTTTCTTTTTTTATTTTAACAAATTGTAACAGTTAGCAGATTCTTGTTTTAATTTTTTTGTTTTCGTTTTTTTTTTACAGTATATTTTTAAATGCAGATATAATTTTCACCAGGTGCCTAATTTAAATGAAAAATTATTATTTTTGCTGAAATTCCTTTTGTCTTACTTTGGAGATATTTATTTGGGAGAGTGTGTGTGTGTGTGTGTGTGTGTGTGTGTGTGTGTGTGTGTGTGTGTGTGTGAGGGTCGACTGGATTGCAAAGTGATTGGAGGCTCGTTGTTTTTTTTCTTTTTACAAATAATCATGTAATTATGTTGTTGTGGATTTTTATATATAAATGTATATGTACATACACACATGTCCATAAGATAAATGTATTTCTGTTGTGAAATTTTTCAAATATTTATCTGTCAGAGTGAGAAGGGTTTAATTTTATATCCTCAGTTTTTAACCATCTAAATTATTTTTTGAAAGCCAAAGAAAAAAGCTTCTTCAAATAGATATGGCCTCACAGCAATAGTAATTAATCAGACAATAATGCTGATTCCAGATTAAAATGTGCTGAAACCAGTGGGGGAGGAGGGGAAACACAAATTCATTCAGGAGGTGAAATAAAAGACGAGTTTAATTTCCAGAGCCTTACTGACTGGTGAATCTCGGAAAGGTCACATGTGGCGTAGCGTCTGCACGTTTCTGCCTGTGTGTTCGAACCAGCGCCTCCGACAGAAACAAGCCACCATTGCTCTGCTCTGTTGGTTTAATGGATAAAGTGGGATGATTATTAATCATAAAGCAGAAACTCCTTTTTGAGTTTGCTGCCTTCAATTTGCTCCTGCCTAATATTAAATCCAGAGTGAAGTTGTGAACAGGGGGCCCAATCAACACATTGTTTAAATGTGTGAATTTTGACATGCTAGCAAAGCTTCTGTTTTTTTTTCTTTTAAGTGAAGAAGCTTTACTGTGCTACTTTAAATGCAGAACAAAAACTAAGAAACTGCAGTTTCT